CCAACAAACTGGGCTAACGGCAGTCCATTGCAACTCTCCCTCTCCCCAGTCGTTGCAACATTTGCACCACTGTATCAGGAAAAGGGAGAGCCAAGATGTGTGGTTGCAGCCTGTGCTCCTGCCTCACCACATAAATCAACTATCACGCAGCCATCATACAGCTCATCATACCTCTCATCATCACCAAAACCCCCATGCCCCCAAAAATCCTTCGGCGATGGACGAGTGGCAACAGGGACAGGCAGAGATGACTGCCGGGAGTCTCTAGTCACAACTCTGCACATGGGAAGCACAGATAAGATGGTCGTTTAGGCACTGAGATCTAGGCCAGCAGTGCAATCCGGTCCAGTCTGTGCTACAGAGTAAGTTCCTTTCGAGAAGCCACTAGGCTCACCCCACATGGGGAGGGGCTAGGAAGGGTGCCCTAAACATAGCCTGCCTAAAGAACCAGCCTGACTGGGGAATTGCACCCATTAAGGTCATCCTTATACAGTCAAAAACACAGTAATAATCACAGATCAAAACAAAAAAACTATACAACCTCTTATGGTCATTGCATGGAATGTCAGGACCCTCCTGGTTACTGACACAAATGAGGATCCTGAAAGAAGAAATGCCCTTGTGACATAAGAGCTGGCTAGGTATAACATAGACATAGTAGCTATTAGTGAGTCCTGGCTCCCAGACAACGGCCGACTCACAGAATGGGGGTCTGGCTATATCTTTTACTGGAAGGGTAAGCCTGCTGCAGAGAGAAACAGCATTTATGGAGTTGGATTGGCATCCACCAACACATCCTACAGGCTAAATCAAATGCCTGTTGAGATCAACGAGCGCCTCATAATGCTCCGAGTCCCACTGAGTCACCCGCATCATATCTTTTTCATCAGTGCATATGCCCCAACACTGGATGCAGTGATAACCTCTATCCTGGGTGACTTCAGTGCCAGAGTTGGCAGAGATGCCGACATTTGGCAAGAAACCATAGGAAAAATGGAATATGCAAGTGCAATCCCTACGGCCTACTCCTCCTCACCAAGTGTGCTGCACACAACCTCACTACTGAATCACTAATACCTTGTTTAAGCAGACCGACAAGTTCAAGGGTTCGTGACAACACCCATGATCCAAACACTGGCATCTCATTAACTACATCATTGTCAGAGAAAGAGATCGCCGAGATGTCCTCATCACCCAAGCCAAGCTCTCACTTCACGTAGCCCCAAAATGGCAAAGGCAGCAAGCCTCCATTAGAGGTTTTGACACTAAGAGTCTGGAGGATCCAGCAGTAGCACATGCTTTCAGAGAGCAGCTCGAACATGGGCTGATAAACAACCAGACAACAAACAACCCAAATCTCAGCGCGGAATGGGATATTCTAGACACTGTCATGAAAAAACCTGCAGAGAGACCCTCGGCCAGATTGAAAGAATACACCAGGGCTGGTTCGATGAAAATGACCCAAAAATCAATGTACTCGTCGACGATAAACGTGCCGCTTTAACTGACTGGCAGAACAACCCTCAGTCTTGGACCAAAGCTGATACCTTCCGCAAGAAGAAAGCAGCGGCCCAGCACAAATTTAGCAATCTAAATAACAACTGTTTTAAAAATAAAGTATGTGAGACATGAAAACTTGCTGATCAGCACAAGATGCACAATTTTTTTAATTCCACTAAAACATTTTATGGGCCAATCACTCATGGCACAGCCCCTCTCCGCTCCTCCGATGGTAACTCCCTAATTAAAGATGAAGAAGGCATCCTTTAGCGCTGAAAAGAGCACTATCATTCATTGCTCAACCGAAACACTGATGTGGATGTCCTGACTACCTAGCAGGTCCATCAGCATCCAGAGCTAACCCACCTCACCTCTCCTCTATCCCTGGATGAGGTAGCTACTGCCATCAAACAGATGAAAAATAACAAAGCCTCAGGGCCTGATGGAATCCCAGCCAAGGTGTATAAAGCAGGAGGACCTCTGCTTACGCGCTGACTCCACTCTCTACTTGATAATATACTAGTGAAAAAGGAGGAAATCCCCCAAACTCTTAGACACTCCATTGTCAATATTTATAAGAACAAGGGAGATTGGTCAGACTGTGGCAATTACCGCGGGATCTCGCTGCTGTCCGTATCTGGCAAGATTATCACCAGAGTCCTCTTAAACGGACTTCTTCCTGAGGCGGAAAGCTTCCTCCCAGAATCTCTATGTGGCTTTAGACCATAACATGGTACCATTGACATAATCTTTGCTGTCCGCTGGATACAGGAAAAGTGCAGAGAAGTGACGTGACATGTACATTTCCTTTATCAACCTAACCAAGGCTTCTGACTCAGTCAACAAGGAAGCCCCCTGGTGGGCCTTCAGCCGTTTTGGCTGCTTACCAAAGTTCATCGCCATTGTGATGCAACCCCACAATGGCATGAATGGCAGTGACCTGCACAATGGCACCCAGTCTGACTTCTTTCCCATCCAATTTAGTCAGTGGGGTGGACATCGAGTACCGGATGAAGGGTCTTTTCAACATAAGACGACTCCAGGCAGGAACAAAGGTGTCAGCAGCTTTCATTACTGAACTTCAGTATGCAGACGACCTCTCCCTTGTCACTCACACTGAACGCGACCTACAAGAGATCCTAAACACCTGAGCAGATGTATATGCACACTTTGGCCTTCAGGTAAATGTACCCAAGACTCAGATTCTCCTTCAGCCTACTCCTGGTTCAGCCACACCTCCACCATCAATCCAGCTTAATGGTACTACCCTCTCTAATATTACCCACTTTCAGTATCTTGGCTCTCACCTTTCCTTCACAGCAGACATCGATGAAGAGATTCAGCATCGGATCAGATGTGCATCTCAAGCCTTTGGCAGACTCCATACCCATGTCTTCAGCTGTAGGGAGCTGAAATTATCTACAAACTTGCACTTATATCAAGCAGTGGTCCTCCCCACCCTGCTATATGGCAATGAGACATGGGTCACATACAGGAGGCACCTCAAGGCACTTGAAAACTTTCACCAACGTAGTCTATGTTCCTTCCTCCAAGTTCGCTGGGAAGACAAGAGATCAAATGCCAGAATCCTCGCTGACACCAACTGTAGAAGCATCGAGGCTACCATTATTCATGAATAACCACGTTGGTCTGGCCATGTTACCCACATGGACGAAAGTAGACTGCCAAAGCAGCTACTTTACAGTCACCTAACGAATAGTAAATATAACGCCGGCGGGCAACTAAAAATGTATAAGGATACTCTTCAGACAAACCTGAAGAAGTGTGAAATCAACCCCACTCACCTGGGAGACAATTACACCTCACCATAACACTTGGAGGAGCACCACATAATACTTTCGAGTTAGCCCGACTGCGTAACGAGGCAGACAAGCGCCAACACCGGAAAGACGCTGCCACCACCCCTCCCGCACTAAATGTAGCCCCACATGTGCAGCATCTGTGGATGGCCCTGCAGGTCCAGTATCAGCCTCTCTAGTCACTTCAAAGCTCGCCAACGAAGGCGACATCCCTAATAACTCATATCAATGTCTCATAACTGGATGATCGTCATACTTGATTCTCAGAGAGAGAGATCATTGTGCAATACCTTTGATACCTTCAAGCCTAGATATCAACCAAGAAATTGCTTACTATGGAACGTAGTTTGCCTTTTTTTTTTTTTACGGGGATTGGCCCACCCGGGCACAGGTCAATGACCCACATCAAGGCCTAGGGAGCGAAAAAAAAGAATAGAGAAATTAAAATAGAAAAAGAAAAGGTTATATTAATCTACACTGCAAAGATGACAGAAAATTAGCTTTCTAAAGTGAGACAGATTGTATGAGTATGGAAACACAGAAGGAGGCAGAGCATTCCACAATTTGGCTGTGTGAGGAAAGAAGGATGTACTATAACGGGTTAATCTAGTGTGACTGACATCCACAGAGAAATGGTGGGCACCGCGGGCAAGACATATGTTACGAGCCCACGGCCTTGCTGGCAGTACACAGGTTGCCAAATCCACCGAACATTGCCCGTTAAAGTACCTGTAAAAGAGAGAGGATGAAGCAACATTGCGACGAAGAGAAAAGGAAGAGAGATTGTCAACTAAATGAGGAGAGTTAATAAGACGAATGAATCCCTTATACAGTCGACCCTCGTTAAAACAGACTAATAGGGGGGGAAGGGTGTCCGATTCAGTCAATTGTCCGAATTAACTGATTTAGGGGTTAATATTGCATAATATTGCATTATATTTCAAAGAAAATGCAGTGAGTTTGTCCTTAGCCTTGAGTATGTCCGAAACTGTTTTCTTTTTAACACCATACTCGTCACAAACTCTAGCCACCGAAGCACCAGCCTCTAACTTCCTTATAAGTTCCAGTTTCTGGTTCACAGAAAGGGTCACATACTTCCTCTTCGGCGTATTACTCCCCCTTGAAGACATGATGTAAAATACAAGGCTGAAAGATGCCTAATCACTGAAATATCACAAAAATTGCAGGGCAACACAACACTGATACTCGAATATGGCACCAAGTCAACAATGACTGGCGGTCTGGCGCGCGCCATCTATCGGACAATCCCAGAACCAGAAATTTGACACGGACAGTCCCTCGCCTAATTCAGATTTCGTCCAATTTATCCGATATCCGGATTAAAGGGGTCCGTTTTAACGAGGGTCGACTGTATACTTGAAGCAACTGCTCAGGAGTGAAGTAGCTACAGCATCTGTACAGCATCTGTACAGCATTCCCAAATTTCGGGAGGCAACTTTAGCAACATTGAGGATGTGTGGCTTCCATGACATATTAGAGGAAATGGTGAGGCCTAGCATATCTATTTTAGAATTTGGCGGAATGATAGCGTCCTGAAATGTGATTGTTGGGAGATCATTAATTTGGAAAGTGTAATTGGTAAATACCGAGTTTTATTACTATTGAATTTGACCAAGCTTCTACCTCCCCATTCGGAGATGCTGGAAGTAAATACTCTACCTTCTGCTGGGTAGTGGACTCCATGTGCACCTGATGAGGGACAAGCATTGCTAACACTGGAAATACATAACACTGAAAGTCTGACTGAGTAAATTTGGTCGGTGTGTTGTACAAGGACTTTGGTACGTCAAGGGTTTTACCATCAATCTGTAAATAAGATTATACATGTTAGTTAAATGAAAAACATTGAAAAAATTAATCTCTAAAGAACAGTACCTCAAAATGAAATTTCAACACAGTATTACCCTACTGAATATTACATTTTCTACTTTAAGAATATATATATACTGTACATCCCTGTATTCAATTTCATGCCTGTTAAAATTTTCAATTTACTGTACATATTTCAAATTTTTCATAAACATCTTAATGAAGATATAGTACTGGTTGGCCTCGCAAATTCGTGTTAATTTGTATCCCACCATGACTGAATTTCCGAAATAGGCATTTTTAAAAACATAAGAATATTTGGAAAAAACAATCTAATTTTACATCATAAACTTTTATAACTTCAAACTTATATAGTACTCCAATGCCATATTTATTGGACAGTTCCTTAATACTTATTCCACTCTATTTAGATAAACAATGTCATTCAGAATTAAGTGATTTAGTGAGCACAAGGTTAGCCAACTTTGCACAAATTTCAAACTGCATACAGTAAAGCCTCGAATAACGATGGTAATGTGTCCTCCAATATTGCAGTGTAAGGTGAATCGTCATATCATAAATCATTAATAACCATTAAAATAAAGCAATAATAATTTGATGCACTCCAAGGTTCAACCTTTTCATATCTGTTGTGTGGTTCCCCCAAAAGAAAATTAATGAAAAATAAGCTTATACACATTTTTAGCTTTTGAACCAGCACTACCACCACTTGCTCTCTTGCTCATGATGAATAAAATATGCCTTAAGAAACCTAAGAAAGTTTTTCCTCCTGTTCCTGTTCATATGCGTGAAAACAAAGGGACCACAAGCTCGGACTCTTGTCTACTAGTGACGCGCATTAGCACTCATTAGCCCAGCAACTTTCCTTGCCCTTTAGCCAAACATGACCTGATGCGGCCGAAACTTGATCCACGCAGGTGTTATACTGCCCATTATGTGGTCACTAATCCTAAGGGGGGTTACTAAACTAAAACATAACCTAAGGTCGCTGCCACCAGACCACATGTACAGTATGTGTGGTTTTGTTTTTGTTAGGTAGCTGGCAGAGCAAGCCAGCCACTGTGAGTTTGTGTTTTCATTAATCAAATCGAGAGTGGAAGGAAGGGTAAAACACCAACCAAGACTAACTAATTTATTTCCTAATAAAAAAAATATTGCATTGTCACAATACAAAAATAGTCGACCTTCCCCAAGCAAATTATTAAGGTCACCACACCCCACACAAAATACCCGACCTTCTCCAAATAATGGTCTTCTCTCTTGATACCAAATCCTTGAACTCCTTACCTAGGTCATTCCTTCCTACAATATCACCCAAAAATACTCACTAGCACCAACGTACTATATAACACCAACATACTATATAGCACCAAATACATTCCACACATATACAGTGGGGTATGCTATAACGAACGGATCCTACTACGAATATTCCTATAACGAACGGTTTTACCTATAAAATTGAGAATGCTATAACGAACGCAACTCCTACAACGAACGCGGATGAATACCGGACTATTTCGCCTGGCGCATGAATATTGTTGTACCGCGACCCACAACAAGAGCGTCAGGCGCCATCTTTGTCTCATTGTGTAGCCAGTGCACCACTGTTATTGTTGAAATTTCGTCTTTTGATGTGGAAATTCGCGTTATTTGTATAACTATTTTGTTATACAAGTATACAATTGTAACAATGAGTCGTCCAAAGCGAGTGAGAAAGCTAATAACCCTTGAAACTAAGAAAGAAATTATAAAGAAACGTGAGAATGGAAGAAGCATTACGAAACTTAGTGATGAATATGGGATGGCTAAATCGACTATATGTACGATTTTGAAGAATAAAGAGGAGTTAAAAACTGTGCAAGTGGCTCAGGGAATCTTTAGACTTAGCAAAGCAAGGTGTAATGTGATTGAAGAGATGGAAAATTTACTCTTAGTGTGGATAAAGGAGAAAGAAATGGCAGGTGGTAACATTAGTGAAGCTATAATTTGTGAGAAGGCTAAACAATTGTTTGAGGACCTTAAAGCCAAGACTCCCAGTGGAAGTGATAGTGATGTGCCAGTGTTTAGGGGTACCTGCTTGCTGAATAACACTAAGGTAAGATAAAGTACCGTATTTTTTACATTTTCCACAGAATTTTTTCAGTGTTAAGCGGTTGTATTTGGGGGCCTGGAACGGATTAATCCTATAACGAACGAATGCTATAACGAACGAGATTCTGGAACCAATTACGTTCATTATAGCATACCCCACTGTAGGTACGAAGCTCCTTCTTAGCCCCAAGGTACATATGACAGGTAGCCATCTCACACACTATTCCTTTGTGGTAAATGAGATCCTTCCCAGGCATTCATACCTGGACTGTTCTGCGTCCGGTAACATTAGGTCACTTAAAGTGGCAACCAAGAGCACCTCAAATAGCACCATCATTTCTTCCTATCCTGGATGTTAATGTGCAGGATGTCCAGAGGTTCATAGGGGAGGTTGCATAGTGGCCATAAGCAGTACCTACAACACCAGGTGTGTTTCTCAAAGTATCACAGTGGTTGCTGGGCCAAACATTTCCTCCGACCTCACTGGTCTCCCTCCGCTCACAGGCAGGTACACCTGTGTGTGTATAAGAAGCGATGCCTGACTGAGTGTAATGCCTGATGGGCTTTTGAATTACCAAACAACATTACAAAATTTATTAATTCACTTATTATAATTATAACATTAGGCAAGGCTTTAAGATGTATATTAAATGATAGATAAGCCTCTTTAAGTTCTGAAGTAGCATCAGCTGTAGTGAACTGACCTGCGTGTAAGAAATGCCGAGCATCACTGAGGATGATAGGCAGCATCTTACCCTGACTAGGCCTACTAGTGCCAATGCTTAACTTTCACTATGTCTTTATTCTGGTCCCCATACATACACTTTCTTATACATTGTGACTATGCCTTATAGGTACATACCTTAATTCTAACTTACATACTACAGTAAGTGTCTGGTTTGTCAATTTCTGGGGAAATTACTTTGGCTATCTCATTACCTCAAAACTGTAGCCATGGGCATTTTATGCGCCAGAACAAACAAAAGCCTTGGCTCTTAGCTTGGGTATATCCACTTCACTTTATTCCCTATATACAGTATAGTTCATTCCCCCCACACTTTGCAATTGTTTAAAACTTTCATAAGATTCTCAAATCATTGCACTGTTAGTGGTTAGTAGTCACATGTGGTAACAATGCGTATTCAGCTCACACCGAGGTACAGTCTCGTTCAAGATTTTTCGAACACTGCTGCAGACAGCTGGCAACTCAAGGCCGTTTGTTTACTATAGCATGGAGTAAAAATAATGAATAAAAGTAAAAGTGATCGGTGATTGGTTACCTAGTTCTCCGTTGCTTAATTTCCTGGTTGGGCTTTGTTTCGTATTATATTATACTACGTACTATCATAAACAAACGGCCTTGAGTTGCCAGCTGTCTCCAGCAGTGTTCAAAGAATCTTGAATGAGAATGTACAGAAGATATTTTCCTTGGAGTATAGTTTAAGGGTCAATCCCAACACTTCACATATGTCTGATACATTTATCCTTTTCCCAGATCATTGTTCTCATATATTTTCATCTGACACCTGAGGTAGCTATGTTTACTAATCATACACAGACGTAAATACTATAACCTTCGGACACAGCTACACTTATTCACTCTAGTACTGTACACTAGTTCGTATCGATTGGGCCTTCCCAATCATCATATGGGTACCTTGAGTTCTCCCTTAATACTATCAGTACACACACTTAATATTATATACCTGTAGATTGGTACAATTCGTATAAGACAACATACGGCATGTGAATTACCCCTTCCAAATGTTTACTGTTTTCTGTGAAACTCCACTAGCAGTGAGCTTGAATGCTATGCAGTTGTAATATGAATCAATAGAGATTATAGAGACCAGTACTAATGTCTCAGCAGAATATAACCTGCATTGCTGGAATCCTTGCAAGACAGCGAATAATTTTGCACGAGATAAAAAATTTTAGTCCTTGTTTAGTACATTTAAGTACAGGGTACAAGTTTTTCAACTCGTATTTTTTGGGTAGATATACAGTACTAACTTTCTTCAATTATTTTTACTCATTTACATGCACACACTATCTTGAATACATAATGTGAAAAACGTAAAAGAAATAATTGTCCTAAGGGCAAACCTGTACTGTACTCAAATGTACAGTGACATCCCCATTCGCCGGAACAATTGGTGCAGAGCACTTCCGGGGATGAGAGATTTCCGACTGCCGGATGACTCTCAAACCCGGAAAATTCACCCATCCCCGAAAATATTTCCGGTTACTGGAAAAAACTTTGAGTGTCTAAACTATGCCTCTTGCATAAACAAATACTAGCCCACATCCTCAATATTTCTGTGTGCTGGGGAGTTTTCCAAGAGTCTAAACTAAAAATTTATATGATATGGTTGTGAATGAAGCTGTGTGTTGCAGTAAAGAGGTGGAGGTAGGGTGGGGTATTAGTGGTCTCATATTACTGACCTTCTGATACAATGTCAGGTCACCCATTGTCGGGTGAGGGATTAGTGAGTCTGAGGACCTGAAGATGTCTCGAATAAACATGAAAGCTAAAATACATTATTTTTTATACTTGCACTTATCAAAATGCATCCCTTCAACATTACGTTAGAAAATATTTTAAAATGTGGAGTGACAAAGCAGGAAGGTGTGGGTGATTAGAGAGATGGAGTGGAAAGGAGCGGTAACATGCACCAGTGTTGCCAAGCGCGAAGCTCCTCAACAGCTGATCTTTTAATTCATCACCACGCATAAATTTATGTCATAGAATATGGGGGTGTGTGGGCGGTGTTTGAGCAGTGGTTCTTAAACTGGAGGGCACCAGAAGATTCCAAGGGGGGCACGAGCGGTCAGAGAGAAAAGTCTGGTCAGGAACTGAACGCGTCTTGTACACGATTGCT